ATTTTTTTAAAAAATAAAAAGTTAGCTCTTATCAGCTACACCTAGTGCTGCTCAAACATGTCTATGCAATTGCTGGGCCATTGAAGGTAAATGATAGACATCCTCATGCACAGTACCTGTGTTAGCTTTCTATTACTATTACAAACACCTGAAGCAAGTGACTTACAATGACAAGGGGCTGATTGTAAGCTCACAGTTTGGCAAGCTTCAGTCTATGATTGACTCCCCGTCTCTGGAGCTGTGATGAGGTAGCACACCATGACAAGATTATGTGGCAGAGCAAAAATTCATGCCTCATATCCAAGAGAAACAAAGAGAGGAGGAGAGAGAGAAGCTAAGAGTCCAATATCTCCTTCAAAGGAGTTCGCCCGGTAGCCTAACCACCTTTACCATCTTCAAAGGCTTCTAACACCTCCCAAAGGGACCATCCTGAGGACCAGGCCTTGAACACATGGGCCTGGGGGAGGATATTTAATTAAACCACAGTGATCCTAACCCAGAGGTGTCCAATCTGATGTTGGAACATGATGTTGTCATCTATGAATATATCAGACTGCATTCATAGGTAACCTGGGATGTGTGCAGCCTCTGGGCTGCAGGTTGGATACATCTGACCAAACCATAACCCCAAGCAACTCAGAACTATGTTAGCATTTGTTTCCTAAGATTAATGCCATCCTCTAACATAACCCGCACCACACTCCACAGTACACCTAACTGAATTAAAAATAATGCCCACATCATATAAATCCAAGTCCATAATCAAATTCCTAGAGAATTTAAAAAAGACAAGCAATACAAAACAAAATGAAACAAAAGCTCATCTCCCTGGGCTAAATCCCCAAGAATTTTGATCCAGTTAGGTGATAATCATGTTTTGAGAAACAGGACTACAGATAAGTAAGAATATTTGTTTTTCCAATAACTCAAAGTTCACTCTTTTGTACTCAAAAATTGTTTGGCCATTGAGCGACACTTAACATTCATTATTTCATCAGATACTCCGTCAATAATGCCCTAAGGTAGATGAGGGTGATATGGACTGAGATTTGCGTTCACCTTCTCAAGTCCTCTAGGTAAGTTGCAGTGGCATCTAGAATCCCAATGCACTAGGCAGGGTTTTTTCACTGTCTCTGCCTGTGTGGTTTGTTTCAGGACACCCAATGTTGATAATGTCATCTGCAAGGTGAAGGATGACTCTAAGACGGTGGACTCTAAGATCGCTTCCATCTCTATCTTCCATGCAATGAAGCTCCAGACTCCTTTCCCAAAGCTCTCTATCCATCTCCATTTGGCTCCAGAACAAATTCATAAAGGGGTTTATTGACTCATAAGGGGAAAACCCGCTATTAGGATGCTGTTGAAAAAAAAATGAATTTGACAAAAATCCTCCCACTTGCTGTGGCTAAATATGGCCAGAATGCTGAGTCTTTACCTCCAAAGCTCCCAGCCTAAAGGCAGCATGGGTTAGAGCACTGAGTCTCACCTTTCCTAATGCTGAGACCTCTTAATATAGTTCCTCATGTTACAGTGACCCCCAACCATAAAATTATTTTTGTTGCGACTCCATAACTATAATTTTGCTACTGTTATGAATCATAATGTAAATGTCTGTGTTTTCTGATGGGCTTAGGGGTCAAGACCTACAGGTTGGGAACCACTGGACTGGAGAGAAGGTAAGCTTCCACAAAGGGTGGGGCTCACTCTCCTCTTCCTATTCCTTTGTGAGGAACAGCAAATTCTAAGAGCACATCCCTGACTGCTAAGTTCAGGGACCCACTTCACTTCCCCATCCTTCTCTGTATACAAGTGTGACCTTCGCCCATGACCCCTGAGAGGTTCTCTACCTTTCCCCAGAACTGGCCCACAGCAGAGCTGAGGACTGCTAGATTAAGACCAGAGCTATTTAAGATTCTTCACCTGGGGAGATTTTCATTTTATATGTATTGTGTGAATTTTTTACTACTGGAGCATATTCAAGCATTGCTTGTGTAATTAAAAATAAATAATTAAAATCCTTGACGGCTGATGGGTTTTTCTTTTCGGTCTTGCGAAGACAAAACGATCTCTAGGGTGCAGCAAATGACTCTGAAGTTTGCACTGGTGTGTGTGTGTGGGGGGTTGTTGGTGGTGGCATGGAATTCCATTTGCAGGAGCTGAGTGGAAATGCCCTTTGGATGCTAATACAACAGTAATATTTAATTACTTTGTAGTGTCTTAGTTAGGGTTACTATTGCTATAATGAAACATCATGACCAAAGAAACTTGGAGGTGGGGGGGGGTGGTATGTGCCTTACACTTCCATATCACTATTCATCATCAAAGGAATTCAGGACAGGAACTCAAACAGGACAGGAACGTGGAGGCAGGAGCTGATGCAGAGGCCATGGAGGGGAGCTGCTTACTGGCCTGCTTCTCATGGCTTGCTCAGCCTGCTTTCTTATAGAAACCAGGACCACCAGCCCAGGAGTGGTACCATCCACAATTGGCTGGATGCCCCCCACCCCCATGTATCACTAATCAAGAAAATGTCACACGGGCATGTCTATGGCCTGATCTTATGGAGGCATTTTATCAGTGAGGCTTCCTCATCTCTGATAACTCCAGCTCGTGTCCAGTTGGCATAAAACTAGCCAGTACATGTAGAAATGGCATACCTATTAAGGGGCAGTTCAAAAACTACTAAGCCAATGGTAGAACCTGAATAAGTGATAGAAGGTAGGAAAGAAAAAAAAAAACAGCTCTAATTATATTCTATCTCTCTCTCTCTCTCTCTCTCTCTCTCTCTCTCTCTCTCCCCCTCTCTCTCTCTCTCTCTCCTCTTTCTCTCTCTCTCTCCTTTCTCCTCTCTTTTGCTTTTGTTTTTTGAGACAGGGTTTCTTTTTGTAGCCCTGGCTGTCCTAGAACTAGCTCTGTAGACCAGGCTGACCTCCAACTCACAGAGATCCACCTGACCTCCAACTCACAGAGATCCACCTGTCTCTGCCTCCCAAGTGCTGGGATCAAAGGCGTGTGCCACCACCGCCCAGCTGTTTTGGTATAATTATCAAGTAGACAGAATTGTCGGATGTAGACCCATGAACCTAGCTCCACCCCTAATGCTCATGATCACTCCCCAGGGGGCTAAGCCTTCCAGCTTCCTCCTTGGCTTGCTTTCTAAGGAAAGCTGTCTTCCATACTCTTCCATCCTTGGAATATTATATGTTTTAATAGCTGTTTTTGAATATTTTGTTTATTTAGATGTATGTGTTTCTGTCTGTGTGTATCATATGCGTTCATGTGCTTGTGAAAACCCGAAGAGGGTGTTGGATCCCCCTAGAGCTAGAGTTTTAGACAGTTGTGAGTTGCCTGACATGGGTGCTGGGAACTGAATTCCAGGTCCTCTGCAAGAGCAGCCAATGCTCTTAACTGCTGAGCATCAATTCAGCCCATAGCTGTTTTCTTTTCTTATTATCTTATTAAATTGTTTATTTATTTACTTCTTTTATGTGCATTGGGGTTTTGCCTGCACATGTGTCTGTGTGGGGATGTCAAACCCCTGGAACTGGAGTTACAGACCGTTGTGAGCTGCCGTGTGGGTGCTGGGAGTCGAACCCAGGTCCTCCGGGAGAGCAGCCAGTGCTCTTAACCACAGAGTCATCTCTTCAGCCTAGCTGTTTTCTGAACATGTATGTGTGTGTTCATGTGTGTATACACATGTGTGAGTTAATGTACACATGTGTGTATGCATGTGGAAGGTAGAGATTGCTCTCGGGTGTCTGTCTAGTTACTTTTCCGCGTTAGTTTTTGAGACAGGAGCTCTCACTGGGCCTGGGATTTGTCAGTTCATTTCCTTCATCTAGACAACCTAGCCAGTGAATTCGCGGATCTGCCATCTTTGTGTGGGGCGTGGGGCTGGAAGGGACTGCTGAAGATCAGTAAACCTTGAATTAAAAGGTTCTCGAATTGGGATGGTCCCCACTGCAGGAGGGATGCAGGGACTCCTAGAGGCCGGGACCTTTAATGTGTTACTCCGGAGAGGAAGTGGTTTCTCCCAGGGCACAGCGAGGGCAGGGACTCCAAAACAAAGCTGGCTTTAAATCAGATCCACCGCTTCCTAATATCCTAATAGGAAGAAATCACCACCACCACCCCCCCGCTTTGACAGCATCCTCCGCAGCTGATTGGGCTCTTTCTCGTGGCTTGACACCCGCTTCTGGAACAGAGAAGTTAGGGGTGGCGGTTGCTCCTCGGCAGGTGTCTTCTGTGTTCTGTGCCTGGTACCTCACTCCCACTCCTTCTTAGAGTTGTTTTATTTTACTCTATCTCTATCTCTCTTGTGCATGCATGCGTGGTGTGTGTGTGTGTGTGTGTGTGTGTGTGTGTGTGTGTGTGTGAGCGTGAGTGCGCGCGTGCTTCTTGCAGGTGCCCACTGAAACCAGAAGAGGGCGTTGGATTCCCTGGAACTGGGGTTACAGTTGTGAGCTGCTGTGTGGGTGCTGGTAATTGAACCTGAATCGGCTGGAAGGGCAGCTAGTGCTCTTAACCACTCCAGCCATCTCTCTAGTTCCCCCCACCCCAAGTCCGCACCTCGTCCTTCTGAGGGAGCCTTCTGGTCTGTGCATGGATTCCTGTGTTCCCCTGTGAATGAGTTACTAGCAGTGTCTTTAAAAGTGGGCTGCTGCGTGTCAACCCAGGCTATCCCCTGAGGAATGGGCCCAGTGGCCTAATCTTTGATTGCAATGATCTGTCCACAGACTTGAATGAAATCCGAGAAGGGCCTTGCAGAGGTCCCTAAGCACCTCAGGAACCGGGGTATATGGCACTTGGTGTCCTTGTCCAGCCTTGTTGGGGACTGGCCTTCTCCTTTAGCCATTGATCCCATCCTGTGAGCACAGTAGAACACAAACAAGGTTCTCAGGGTTAGTTAGGCTTTATTGGCTCCACTGAAGGCTGAATGAGGAGGGCCTTGGGTGCCTCTGGTCCTCTTCAACCAGGGGAGAGCAGGTTCCACAAGGGGTTCCCAGGGTTCAAGGCAGGAGAACACACCTGGCCTCCGGCCAGCCAGCCCTTCAAGGTGTTTCTGTGACTTCCCAAGGTCTGAGAAGTCCTGGTAGAGAGGGTGGGGTTTGAAGGGGGTGTTCCAGAGGGTCTCCGTTGCTCTGGAATTAAAATGGCAACTTTTGGGGAATAGATTCTGGAGACACAGACCTCCTTGGGACAGGACACGACCAGGGCTTTGGGGAGACAGTGACCCGTCTTGGTGCCTGAGGTGAAGACCTGAAACACTGGTTGGATTTTGTTGATTGGAGGCCTGCAGACCTGAGGCTCTCCTCCCGGGAGAGTGTGCCTGTGACTTGAGCTGCTGGTACCTGGGGTGCAGGCCTTTGGCTCCGGAGGACCTCTCTGGGACGCCTTGCTTCCTGCTGCTTTTTTTCTGGGAGCAGATGCAAGGCTTTGGCCTGGCCAGGAGGCAAGCGGAGGCTGAAGCCAATGCCTAAACGGAGAGGCCCAGATTCCTGGCCCTCTGCAGGGGGCAGTAGTTGAGGGAAGGCAAGCAGCCTCGGCCCAGTCTTGTGCTTGAGGGTGGGGCAAGACGGGGTGCGGGGCTGGAGGCACGCTAGACAAATGGGGTACTCCAGGACTGGAGGCTGGCCGGTTGTGCCTAGCCAGAGGTGCTGCAGAAACAGTATCTTCAGGTCTCGGGCAATTCTGCGGCGCCCCACAAGGAGCGCTAGCGCTTGGGCGAGGGCCTCTGGGTCCTGGAATTCTGCAGGGTCCAACTTGCTTGCCATGCATCCCTCTGCCGCCCCAGGGGACCTGGTGTTTCCGGATGGAGGCCCCTGCCATGTTTGTTTGTTACTGGGAATCCCTGGAGAAGGTACGCTGGGGCTGGGGGAAGTGACCCTGGTGGAATTGGGAAGGTCCTGGAGGTGGGAAGGAGACTGGCAAGAGCCAGGAGAGGAATTCTGCAGCTGGGAAAGAGAAGAGGAGCTGCTAAGGGGAGGAGAGAGGCACAGCCCGAAGTTGCGGGAAGAGGATGTGTGTGGAGAGGGGAGACGAGAGCAGTTTTGGCCAAAGAAAGTGGGGGGACTTGGGAGAGAGGAAGAGGAGGGAAGAGGGACAAAGTCAGATTTGGAGTCCGAAGAGTATAAGTGAGGCCCAGGAGAGCGGGACTGGGGCGACCAGGAGACTGAGGAATAGGCCTGTGAGGGAGAGGGCAAAGGTAGGTGGGAAGGAGGGAGGGTCAGATGGGGAGAGAGAGACGCTAAGTTGAATGGACTGGAGTCCACAAATTGTGAGAGGACCTGAGGGGAACACCCTGGGGGCACTGCGTTCTGTAACGGCACCTGGTGGTCCTTGTTTTGAGGCAACATTGCCTGGAATCCGGGGAAAAAAAGTGGGTGGGGCAACAAGACCAGTGAGTAGAGACCTAACAGAGTCAGTGTGGGGATCTCTGAGGCCAGTTGTGGCTGGTGATCAGCAGCGTGGCTGCTGCTTAGTTTTGCTGCGGGCGTCAGCAGCAGGGCAAGGGAGCACGAAGCCTCTTCCGCTTGACTCTGACGTGCTCCGTCCGGAGCCTGCCTCTAAGCTTGGCTCTTCAATTTTTCTTAGCCATTCGCCAGGGACGTAGGGAAATGGGGAATGAGAGCTGTCCCTTGGGAGCCAAGGGACAACTGCAACTACGTGGGTAGAATCCGGAGGAAGACACTGTCTGTAGGACCTGCAGAGAAAAAGACAGAGGTCAAGACAGTGGAAGGGTTGGTCCACTTCTGGACTCGGCTTCAGGTGCACGGTGCCAGTGTGAACGCATCAAGCCCCAAGATGTGAGATCTCTGGGTGTGGCTCAGCCTAGCATGCATAAAGTCCTGGGGTTGATCCCCAACACCACATAGTCGTGGCCTGCTGGCACGAGCCTCTAATCCCAGCAGGGACACAAGGAGATCAAGGCCAGCCTGGGTCACGTGAGTCTGTCTCAAAATAACAACAAAGACACTAGCTGTGTGTCACCTTTGAGGTCAGAAAACCTGGCAAGATGCTCTAGAGAAGGTGAAGAAGTGGAGGAGATTGGAAAGATAGAGCATAGGATAGCGTCAAAAGAGGCGGCTTAGGGCCGTAGGGACCAAGACGGGAAAGGAATGGAGAATACTGGGCAGTGACTTTTACCAACGTGGATTCCTTCCGCTGTTTCCAAAGACACTTCTTCAAATAGGGGACCTGGGAGAGAAAGCAGAGTCACACAACAGTCCATCTACCCCCTCTGCCTCCAGCCTCTGACCCCTTAAACAGACTCTGACCCACAATTCCAGTCTGAGTGGTACCCTCCGTCCTTTTTTTTTCAACCAGAGCTCTTCTGTGGAACAGGGTTTTGCCCTTCTAACCCTGACACACAGACTTTGTAAGCATCCTGATTTCCTGGCATACTGGCTCCCCTGGCCTCTTGTCACCCTTCAGAGTGGTGTCCCTCTCGCTCAGCCTGGCCTTGGCTGAGATGATTGTCAGACCCAGGGGCAGCAACAGTAGGGTCAGCTGGTAAAAGGCTCCAAGAGACGGAAGCTTTGCCTAAGGGGCGGCGTTGCCGCCCCCACTGGGAGCTGAGGGGCTCATTCCCTGGAAGCAGCGCTCTCTGGCATCATAGGTCACAGAGGTCAGATAATGACATCATAGATTCTGTCCTCCCCTCCCCCAATGCTCTGGATCTCCCCCCCCCTCCTCCCTCCCTCCCCCTCTCTCCCTCCCCTCTCTCTCTCCTCTCCCTCCCCTCTCTCTCTCCTCTCCCTCCCCTCTCTCTCTCCTCTCCCTCCCCTCTCTCTCCTCTCCCCCTTCTCTCTCTCCTCTCCCCCTTCTCTCTCTCCTCTCCCCCTTCTCTCTCTCCTCTCCCCCTTCTCTCTCTCCTCTCCCCCTTCTCTCTCTCCTCTCCCCCTTCTCTCTCTCCTCTCCCCCTTCTCTCTCTCCTCTCCCCTTCTCTCTCTCTCTCCCCCTTCTCTCACCTCTCCCCCTCTCTCTCCCCTTCTCTCACCTCTCCCCCTCTCTCTCCCCTTCTCTCACCTCTCCCCCTCTCTCTCCCCTTCTCTCACCTCTCCCCCTCTCTCTCCCCCCTCTCCCCCCTCTCCCCCCTCTCCCCCTCTCCCCCTCTCCTCTCTCTCTCTCTCTCTCTCTCTCTCTCTCTCTCTCTCTCTCTCTCTCTCTCTCTTCCTAGTCCTCCTTTTCTTCCTTTTCCTTTTCTGCTTCACCCTTCACCCTTCTTTCTATTCCTTCTAGCCACTGGAGACCTCTTTCAGAATACTAGATCTTTCCTGGTAGACAGGACTAGTTGGAAGGCACCCTGCTCAATGTCTCTGTCATACTCCCAGCCACAGTGATTATGTTCCCTGAGCAGGTTCCCTCTTCAATAGTTCTTTGCTCTTGTTAAGAAGCTAATCAACAGGGGCTGGAGAGATGGCTCAGAGGTTAAGAGTACCGACTGCTCTTCCAGAGGTCCTGAGTTCAATTCCCAGCACCCACATGGTGGCTCACAACCATCTGTAATGAGATCTGGCGCCCTCTTCTGTGTACATAATACATAAATAAGTAAATCTTAAAAAAAAAAAAAAAAAAAAAAAAAAGAAGAAGAAGCTAATCAACCCTGCAAGGGAAAGAACTCACTAGCAGAAAGGGTGGGTGATCAGCATGAGATAGCCCAGCAGTCCCGTAGATGGAAGCTACAATCCAAGGCTTTCTCTCCAAAAAGGGGGATGGGTATCACACATCCCAGGGAGCAGCTTCATCATGAGAAGTTAGACCCTTAAGGTCAACTGGCTGAGGACTTATTCTCTTTGGCCTGCTTTTGGAGGATACCTCCGGGTATTGTAAGCCCTGTAACATCTCCCTCCCAGGATCAGCTAAGATGGCCATTGTCTGAGCACAAAGACCGAGCAAAAAAGTGGACAAGCTTTAAAAACCCAGAGCAAACGAAAAGCATTCAGAACAACAAAGGCAAGAAGGGCCAGCAAGTACAGCATAAGACAGCAAAGGGAACACAAAGGTAATGGGATCCCTTGAGCCCTGTCTGAAGCTCAAGGTGTCATAGGGAGAAGGCCGTGTGTTCCTGTCCCAGCCTTGCTTCTGGCTGTGAGATTTCCTCAAGCTACTGAGCTGTTCTTTCCTCGATTTGGAGTTGGTTGGGTGGACCTCGAATTCTACACTGGGATTTGCCTCTTATTGACTGTAACTTGGCCATGTCCTTCTGAGCCTGTACATGATACTTTGGGAAGAAGTGGCCTTGGGAACCTGATCTTACAGGGTTGCAATCAGGACTCAGAATGTATAGAGAGCACCTGATAGAATTCACCGTGGACTATGATATGACTTTTCTCGTTGCCGTGTCAAGGTTGACAGACAAGAACAGTTCAGGGGAACGGGAGTTTACTTTGGCTTCTGGTTTAAGGCTCCAGCTTGCCGTGGTAGGCAAGGCATGGTGGCAGGAGCGTGAGGCAGACGATCACAATGCACCTGGCAGTCAGGAGGCAAAGAGAGATGGAGGCTAGACTCAGCTCACTTTCTCCTTTGTTTTCCAGTCAGAGACCTCAGTCCATGAAGCAGTGCAGGCCACACTCAGGGTAGATCTTCTTCTCACTTCAGTTAACCTAATCTAGAACACTGCCCCCCTCACACCCCGACAGTCCCAGAGGTTTATCTTCATGGTGATTCTAGACCCTATCCAGTTGACAAGCTATATGAACCATCACACCTAGTTACTTGCTGCCATTATTCAGACTCTGTAAAGGTGGCCAAGCTGTCACCTAGAAGGAGAGGGGATTGCCCTTTACACCTTTACTTCTCTACCACTTAGCAGTCTGGTGGACATACTGGAAATACTTGACGCTCTGTTCACTGAGTGTTTTAAAGCAAGCATCTCCTTGCACCTCGGTGGTCTCGTGAAAGACAATACGAAGAGGTAGTTTCAGGGAACACATTACTAACTTTGTCCATCACCAGAAACACCAATGTCAGCCACTCTGATGAACTTGTGGCTCTTGCTTTGCTGCCTGTATTCGAGCCATTTTCTGTCCCTCAGAAAACTCTCCCCTTGATGAGAGGCTGCAGCTACCTCACCCAGCAGAGTCGAGAAGGCTAGCACTTCCAGCCTCTCTTGCAGCTAGAGCTCTGGTTTGCATTCTGCCAGCCATAGCAGTTTGGCAATTCAATGTGAGAATCACTAATTTTCTTTCAACCATGAATGATTTTGGCCCAGCAAAGTATTTAATCTCTTTTTCAGTTCAATTCCCTCATCTTTTGAATGGAGTTTATTGTTTTTGATACAGGAGGAGACAGTAATGCATGCCAAGTTACTGATGCCAAAGTAGTCAATAAATATTTCCCACAAACACAAATCTAGCAGCAGTTATAACCTCAAACTACAGTGCCACTTATATCCCTTCTTGATGTTTAAGGACTTTACATGCCTCAAGGGTCACTTCAGTTCTAACAAGGTCCTTTTTTATTCACAGCGTTTAGCCAGAGTAAGGGCAAAAAGGCTGGAGTATATAATCCTCCAGGATTGTGTGTAGAATTGCAATCTAGAACCATCAGAATAGTCTGTATGAAGAATCCAGGACAGGATCAGTGATGAACAACTCACTTCTCCAAATTTCCCTTGTACCTGAAATAGAATGCACAAATAAATCCTCTTTTGGTGCCTTCAAGAAAGCAATTCCTTTTGGTTTAAAAATTTGGGGAAATTGGCATAAGAAAAAGCTGCAGAGTTACTACCTCTTGGTTCCCAGCCTGTTTTATCCCTTGTTAGGAGTCATGTGCTTTAAGGACATTGCCATTGGGTGGTGGTAAAGAGCCACACTCCCCGTATGGGATTCTAAATAGCTCATAACTGCTTAAGACTTGCGGTGTGGATTCAGATGTGAAACTCATTAACAGCATGGGGAAAAAAAAATCCTTAAACTGACTTAAGCAAAGAAAAGCAATTCATTACATATATAGCAGAGTATCTCACAGTGCCCAAGGGCCGTACACACAGCAACACAAATAAAAACTTATGCAGAACATGCATGTGTGGTTTTCTTCACGGATCCTCAGCTGTGTCTATGAAAACCCTTCTAAGTGGATCTTCTCAGGAGCCCGAATTATATAACCAACCTTTCCATGCACCTGAACCCAAACTGGGCAAAAGAGATTCACCCATGATAGACCTCCCTGATGCTGGTCCTCTTCTTGGTTATGAGATACACTTATTTTCACCCTAACTCTCCCACATTGCCCCTCTTCCTGTCCTTTCCCAGTAACTTTAAAATAGGATAAAGCCTCTTCAACCATATTTCTCTTTGCCTCCACCCTGAGAAGAAAATCATTCCAACCTATTTCCTCTTCTGTTTAGCAGGGGTTGGGTGCAATTGCTGCAGTATTAATTAATGACGAGACTCTTGGTCTGGTTGCCCTGGCAATGCCCACCAAAGCATCAGAACTCTTCCAACAGAGCGGTGCACCGAGCAGTCAATTAACTGTTTTCTTCACACATGTGCGCCAAGTGTAC